TTTAAGGAAGTTGGATCATCATTTGAGATGTTTGTTTTGTCAATATCATTTTCTATGCCAGTGTTTTCAAATTGTTCATTTTCTTGTTCAGAAGGATGAACATCTTTGGCATCACAGATCAATTCTTTGTCACTTTCTTTGTATCTGTGAATGCATCAGGCAACTGATTTGCAACATTTTGTAAATGGATTATCTTTTGCACCTCTTGTTCACATATATTTGATCTTGAATCAAGATGTGATAATCTTGTTGCATTCCATGTAATCTCTTTCGTACTTGGGTCTAATTTAGTATTTTCTCCCCCTAAGGTTGGGAACACTGTCTCATTGAAATGACAGTCTGCAAACCGTGCTGTGAATAAGTCACCAGTCATTGGTTCGAGATATTTTATTATTGAGGGAGATTCAAAACCAACATAAATTCCCAACCTTCTTTGAGGACCAATTTTTGTACGATGAGGTGGAGCAATCGGAACATAAACAGCACAACCAAATATCTTAATGTGTGCTAAGTTTGGCTCATGTCCAGTAACTAATTGCATTGGGGAATATTCATGATATGCAGTCGGTCTAAGCCGAATTAAATTTGCTGCATGCAAAATAACATGTCCCCAAGCTGATGAAGGTAAATTACACTTCATTAATAATGGTCTAGCGATTAACTGTAATCGTTTAATCAAAGATTCGGCAAGACCATTTTGTGTATGGACATGAGCAACAGGGTGCTCCACGTCAATCCCAATCGACATACAATAGTCGTTAAATGATTGGGATGTAAATTCTCCTGCATTGTCAAGTCGGATTCTCTTTATAGAATGATCCGGAAAATGAATTCTTAATCGTATGATTTGAGCAAGGAGTTTAGTAAATGCTAAATTTCTAGTCGATAACAGACTGACATGTGACCAACGTGTTGAAGCATCAATCAACACCATAAAATATCGAAATGGTCCACATGGTGGGGCTATCGGCCCACAAATATCTCATTGAACCCTTTCTAAAAATGCAGGTGATTCAGTTGCAATTTTATTTATAGAAGGTCTGATGATCATTTTGCCAAGAGAGCAGGCCTTACAAGGAAAATCACTTGATAATGGAACCCTGGTATTATTTAATGGGTGTCCAAGTGAAGTCTTAATGATTTTATGCATCATTACTTGGCCTGGGTGACCTAAACGGTCATGCCACAACATGAATATTTTCTGATCATCTAACTTTATGTTAGAAACCAAATTTATTTCGAATGGACTAATATATGTGAAATATAGTCCTGAGGAATATACTGACATTTTTTCACAAATAAATTTAGTGCCAGATTTAGTTGTCGAGAGACAAAGATATTCCCTTTGATTTTCATTCATGGTTTCTATGTGATAATCATTTTGACGCATATCTTTAAAACTTAATAGATTTCTCCGCGATTTGCTGGAGTATAAAGCATCATTTATAATTATTTTTGTCCCGTTAGGGAGCATCACATATGCTTTCCCAGAGCCTTCAATGAGCTTCACAACACCTGATATTGTATTGACTTTAGCTTCAACTAAAGTCATTTGAGAAAAATATATTTTATTTCTCAAAATGGTGTGCGTTGTGGCGCTGTCTATCAGACATAGCTCTTTATCATTTGAATGATCCATATCTTCAATATATATAAATAAACATTAGCTTGATCACAAATTATTCATTTTATTTAACATAAGAGTATATACATTACACATATTTATTTAAAAACAAATTAAAAGTGGAAGAAAGAAAAAATACATAAAATTAGCATTATACAACATACAGAGTCTACTATTTTATTTTGTAACATTTTGGTTTATGGCAAAAGCATCGTCCATAATAGCATCATTAGCGAAAAAGTCGGACACGTCAAATTTTGGCAGAGATGGAGTTGTGTCATTGACATAATTAGCTTCCATATTTTTGCCTTTGTTTAAATTCATAGAAGCTTGAAATAACTCCACCAGATGTTTAGCCGTACGACATTCATTAGCCCAATGCCCCGTCATGCCACATTTATAACAAGTCGATTTTCCCGAGAATTTTGGAGGGCGGTTTATTTGATGGGCTTTTTGTTTGTTCTTGCCCTTATAATTCAGTCTATTGACTTGTTTATATTCTCGGTGAGACTTGTTATTATGACCACCATAATGCCCACGTTTAAAATGCCTTATATTACCACTGTGTTGCATTTGATTCTGTGGCTAAATTATGGCCGGATGGACCATAAATAGAAGGACTATAACCAGTGGGTCTCAGATTGTGGGTTTTCATCAAAAGATCATTATTTTGCTCAGCTACAAGTAAAACTGATATTAAGTCAGAGTATTTTTTAAAACCCTTTTCTCTATATTGCCGTTGTAGCAGCATATTAGAAATATGCATTGCAGAAAAGGTTTTCTCCAACATATCAGCATCAGTGACTTTTTGTCCACATAACATTAATTTGGATGTTATTTGGAACATGGCAGAATTATAGTCACTGATTGATTTAAAATCCTGGAATCTTAAATTGATCCAGTCATATTGAGCTTTAGGTAAAAGGACCTTTTGTTGGTGGTCATACCTCTCCTGTAAATTGTCCCATAATTCTTTTGGATCATCGACCAAAAGATATTCAGACTTGAGACTTTCATGGAGATGGTGGCAGAGAAAAATAATAGCTTTCGCTTTGTTCTGGGACGATGATTGATTATAAGTCTCAATGGTGTCTTCAAGACCATTAGCCTTCAAATGTGCTAAAGCATCAACTTTCCATTCCAGGTATTTTTGCTCGGACAGATCAAGGACATCCAATTCTCGTTTGCTTATATTTGCCATTATACTACAAGGAATTATTACAATCGGTCTAATCAGTAAAGTGTATATTTACATCAGAAGATACTTACCACTCTATAAGTAATTTAAAATATGTTGAAATAAATCTTATATAAAGAGTATACTAATTATATAGTTTATCAACTATTGACGTATGATTATTTTCTTTTGTTTTAAGATTTACGTTATAGATTTGTATACGTACACAAAAAAGACATGTGGCAGTACTAGGTTTGAAGCTTATCATTGACTATTATTAATAAATACGGAGTAACAAAAAAAAAAACAGTCTATGTCTAACCATAAAAATTTATTTAAAATGGATTACTGATCTCACATTACTTTGGTTTTAGATATAACGTTCAGAAGCCTCTGATCACTTCTGCAAAGCCACCTGCGGAGCCTCCTTGGCTTCTTCCCTTTTTATTTTATTTTATTTTTAACAGTAAATGTATGCATGTGATACAAAAAGACAATAAAAAGATATACATAATCCATGCATGTTAGTAATAAAATACAGAACCCGTGACTATCCTACTTCTTTAAAGAGTACTTAAATATGAGCATCAGAACAGACTTATTAGATTCGTTGTTGCGGTGCGTAGTACTCAGTATTAGTTACTGGTTTAGATTCTAGACATCCACCGAGTGTATTTCTACATGTCATACCCACTATCTTCTTTCATATTTCTAAGTCGGTGTTCTTCTTTACTGATTTACGAAGGATTTATCAAGATACATTTTGAAGGTATGTTTATCTATATTTTCTCTCCGTATATCATAGAAACTTTATTTAAAAAGGCAGAATAATTTTCAGGTTTGAATACTGAAACAAGATAGTAGATACTAATCTTAATACCTGCAGGAGATGATGATTTCTGGAAGACTTTTGAGCAGATTCGTGTTGATAACGTGTTGTGAAATGAAGAAGATGAAGAACATATTTAAGAGAGATATATTATTAATAAGCTTTAGATATTATCTTCTTGATATGAAAATTTCTGAGTTTCTGAGTGAGTTTACAATGAATGAAACAAACCATATTTATACTAGTCATGCTTAGGGATGAACCATCTAGGAATGATTCTACATAATTTGCTGACAGTATTGAATCTAGCCATATGTATTGACAAAAGGGTGGTCCGGCCACCTGAATTTGAGGTGATTCCCGGTGGGATGTTTTGCTGAATTTGTTTGTGTATGTTATTCATCAAGTCTAGTTAATCCATATCAAATTTCAGAACCAATCTCAATCCGGAAAGCAGTCAAATGATTTTTTAAAGATAACTGCGTTTTATATGCATAATCCGGCGTAGTTATCTTTCAAAAATCATTTGATGGCCTTTTGGATTGAATGTTTTGCTCAAATTTGGTAATTGGTATGACTGAACTAGACTTTATTAAGAACATACACAAAAAATTTCATCAAAACATACCACCGGGAACCACCTCAAATTGAGGTGGCCGGACCACCCCTTCGTCATGACGTCCTGACCGGATCCCCCGCGGACAACACCATCAGAGGGTATTTCCGCTGGAATTTTTTGATGATTTTTTTGAGCATGTTCCTCATCAAGTCTAGTTTATGCATACAAAATTTCAGCTCAAAATTCAATCGGGGAGACAGTTAAACAAATTCTTGAAACATAATGCGTTTTATATATGTACTATAAGAGAAGAGACGCCACTTGAAGTGACGGCTTTTGTACTATAAGAGTAGGGATGTACTCGGGTCTGGGCCGGGTCCGGGTCGGGCCTAGGCCCATGCGGTTCAGAAGTGGTGGACCCGGGACCGGCCCGGGTAACCACCGGGTCCGGTCCGGTCCGGGCCGAGCCCATTATCAATTTTTTCCCCCTCTTCCTAATTAACCCCCCTCCCACTCCCAACCCCCCAAACCACCCCAAATGGCCCACAATACCCAGCCCAACCCGAAATTTTAAAAAAAATTGAAAAAAAACAGTTTTGGCCTGAACCGGACCCGAGCCCGGCCGGGTCGAGCCTTGTTTTGGGTTACCTGAGCCCGGACCAGAAAACCCACGGTCGGGCCTACCCGGACCGATCACTGACCGGGCCACCGGGTCGGGTCGGGCCGGAACAGTACCGATCCCGGGCCGGTTCCGGGTCGGGCCACCCGGCCCGAGTCCATCCATATATAAGAGAAGAGCCGACACTCGAAGTGATAACTTTTGTACTATAAGAGAAGAGCCGCCACTTGGAGTGACGACTTTCCTTAACCGTGGTTAATTCCACCACTATTTTGGGAATTAATTTTAACCCGGCAGTATTTCAGGAATAATTAATTTAATTAGCATTATTCTGGGAAAAATCTCCGTAACGCAATACAGACAGTCATAATTTTCTTGTGCCAATCCAAGGAGGAGAGTGAATGTGACTCCATAAAGTAAACAGAACAAATACCCAGTAATAAAAAAGGAGACATCTTATTAAAGTAAGGAATTAAATAATACACTGTAGAAAATAATTCCTTACAGCCACACACAATACAGACAGTCATACATCACACCCATCCCATTTCCTGCATTACTAAAACCATTGCACACCGCACCCGAAACGCAAGCCCGCCGTCAGAGGTGGCGGCGGTTTCATCTACTTCCCACCGCCGACCCGTTTGAAGGAGAGCAACTGTTTCGATTTCATGCCGGGTGGGACCACCACCTCGGCATCGAAAGTTCCCTCGTCACCATTGGGCAAGGAGGCGCGGATGTGGAGGAAATACTTGATTCCGGCCACCACCTGCTGCTCCGCCTTGAAAACTTCTATGAATTTCAGGGCACCGTCCTTTACCGACGGCTGCTTGCCGCTACGGCTGTTATGTTCTTCCACGGAGAACTTCCCCAGAGATTGAACATACGCGTTTTCCTTCACGTTCTTGATCTCTTTTATCCCGCCCACTATGCCGGTCTGTCCTCCGCCTCCGAGGGCGGCGTCCGCTGAGAAGGCGGCGGCGAGGAGGAGGAGGGCGAGGAGGATAAGGGGGTTGCCGAATTTCGCCATTTTTGGGAGTTGAGAGATTGATTGATTTGGGCAGTTGGATTGGGCGTGGCGAATGGAACGGACTTATAGGAAGGGATTGAAGCGTGACGGGAATGAAAATTAATGCATTTAATTACACAGCGAAATACAATGTCTAGTTGGTCTGAGTCAAAGTGGTTGGTGCCATTTGCCTCTATCCAAATGCATCTTACATTATGGGACGGATGTAGAAAATTAATAATTGCGCTCAAAGTTATTTATCAAATTGATTGTTTTATATTACTCTATTACTATAATTAATTTACATATAGAAAGTAACATATTTTAAGAGTATTGTAGAATAGAAATTATTTTGACTTTTCTTGGTCAATGGTGGTAAATTTTAGATAATGATTTTAGGTATTATATTTGTTTGTAATTTATAAATTATATACTTTTATGTAAGATTTTTTAATAAAGAATAAGTTCATATAATTTTCATAGTTTAAATAATTTTGTATTAAAAGATATAATCGGACAAACTTAACCAGCATTGACCAAGAAGAGTCAAAATGTATCAATCTTTTTGGGACGGATGAAGTATTAAATAGATTGTTATCATAAAATAAATAGTATAGTACCCATGCGATGCATGGACTATGAATGAAACTTGGGAGAACTATCAAATAAACTCTCGAACTTTCATAAAAAATCCAAATAAATTCTTTTATAGGAAGCTCTGTCCAAGGCCGAACACTTCCTTGAGGCAAAGAGGCAATCGCCTCAGGCCCAAAAAAATTGGTAAATAATAAGGGCCCATAAATAATTGTATTCTACTATTATATATATACATGTTTTTCTATTTTATTAAAATAACAACAATACAAAAAATATTAATCAAAATAATATCATGCAGCTATGTGGGATTAATTATATGATGTAAGCATATTAATTAAATTACTGCTTACAAATCTTAATATCCAAATTTTACATTATTCAAAGGCCTTTTACAAAAATTCGACTCGGGCCAAAAAAATGTTAGGACCGGCCCTGGCTCTGCCCGGTCATCGCCATTTGGGGCGGTTTCCGGTGGATTTTTTTGATGCAATTTTTTGAGAATCTTCTTCATTAAGGCTAGTTTACTCGTACCAAATTTCAGCTAAAAAACAACCGGGAAGACAGTCAAATGAATTTTTGAAGATAACTGCACAATTAGACAGTGCAGTATATTTCAGAATTCAGAAAATCATCTGACTGTCTTCTCGATTGAATTTTTAGCTGAAATTTGGTATGGGTAAACTAGATTTAATGAAGAAGATGCTCAAAAAAATTGATCAAAAAATTCCACCGGAAACCACCCCAAATGGTGACATCCGGATAGAGCCTCCTATAAAAGGGCTTATCTACAGTTTTTATGAAACTTCGAGGGCTTATTTGATAGTTCTCCCATAAAACTTTGTATATTGATTAGTATAGTGTCCGTGCGATTAGGGGTGGACTGGGCAGGGCCGAACCGGCCCGGAACCGGACCGCTACTGTGCGGGCCCGGATGGCAGGTTCTGGGCCATGATTTTCATGAACCGGCCCGGGCAGTTCGGGCCGGGCCTGGTTCATATTTTTTTGTTTTTTCAATTTTTTTCTTTTCCTTAGGCAGAACTGGGTGTTTTGGGGGGGTTTTGGGGGCGAGGGTGAGGGAGGGGGGTCGGGGGTTAATTAGAAAGCCAAAAAAAATACATAGAACTGAACCCGGTATCAACCCAGACCGGTTCCGAGCCCAACATTCTGAAAAAAAGCCCGCCTGAGCCTAGTCCCGACCCGGCCCGGGTCCACCCCTACGTGCAATACATGAAATATGCATCAAACTTTGCACATTGTTATTTTAGAGTAAAATGTTGACAAAACAAATATGAAAATGTAATGTATTGCTTTGTTGATGAATATTTATCTATTCAAAATTTCTCTCATATTGAGTACTAATTTGGTCATTCAATTTATCATAACTTTATACTATCGTACTAAATAGAAGTGGAAATTATCCATACGGACTACTTTTGGGTACTAGATATCGTTTATGTCTCTACTCTTTTTTCTTTTCATATTTAACTTTTGTATTTTCAATAATGTTTTATTTATTTCACTTTTAACTATTCTAGCTATTCTTATACGAGAGAGGCACAAAGAGAGTCGCTAGAACACTGCCTAGAGAGCGAGGTCGCGTGAAGTGAAGATCGCCCAAGTGGAGACTAGCGGCGCTGGAGAAAGTGAGGAACGAGTTGCGAGCGGCGGCTCTGCAAAGCGGCGGGCAGCGCTATGACAAAGGCAGCAGAGTTCATATTCAAAACTATTCGCCCGTCGCCGTTGAGTCGGTCCGCACCTGGGCTGCGAGTCAGGCCAAGTTCTTCATTCGACATCTGTAATTCCAGATCTGTTTTCCGTTTCCACATAGATTTTCCGTTTGTTTTTGCAAAAATTAAATTCAATTTTTTTGGAATTCCTTTTGGCTGAATTCTGAAATTGTGAATAAAAAACTTATAGGTGGCACCAGAGGATGCAATTAGCGGCAATCTCTGTTGGTTGGAGCGATTCTCATTAAGGTTGACAATTCTTTTGATGTATTGTTTTAATTTTTTAAAAGTATTTATTTCATATACTGCTAAGTGATGTCATTTGGCTGTTTAGAATAATAATTATTTGGCTATTTGCACATTTGCGACATTTAAGTTGAGGTCTTTGTGAATGCAAGAGCTATATGAGATGCCTCCATTATTTGACAGGTCAATTCTGATGGTATGAGTTAGTTAGTGGAGTTTGACAATATTTGGTAACTGTGATGAGTTATTTGACAAATTTGACATTAGTTGACAGTAAATAATGATATTTGTTGACAAATTAAATACATATTTCTAGAAAAAATAGGGAATGTTTCACTTATGGGGAGCTATGAATATACCCAGGTCATTAGGAGTTCAAATGAGAAAAGATAGGTTGCTTAACGGTAGCCTACTTTAAGAATCTAAGAACAAAGTTCTCTTGGATTACCTGTACCCAGAGGCACATTTGTCTTCACAGAACAGAAACTTTCAGTTGGATTTTCAGAATGGGATAGAGTCCCTGAGGATCACCTTGGATTTTTGTTCCAATGCAGGCTTCACTCTGGATGTAGCAATAGCAAGAGTACAACACCCTGTATTGTCCGATAAATGTATGCTTCCAACTAAACTAGCTAGGTTGCTATAATATTGAAATGACATCTAAGCAAGAAGATGAATATATTAGTATTATTTCAAGAAATCTTTTCTGATTGATGCCTCAAATAGCTTTGCTTAACAGGAATTGAGGTCTAATCCTATCCTTTTAACCAGGGGCAGAAAGTTTCACTTTTTTTGTTTGTATATGGGATCTTTCAAGGGGTTTGTTTCTATAATTCTATTGTTGCATAGAACCCGTCGACACAAGGAGATGATCGAATATTGATCTATCTTCTAATCGACCTTGATAAGTTGAAGTTGATAGAGGACAAATTGTTTGTCATCAAAGAAAGTATCACTATGGTAGTTAAGGTGTATTGTGTCATCCCTTCCTCCTTTGAGCCTACCTGGACAACATGTATAGCATCCTAGGCACCTTCCTGCAAATAACATGTCCTAGCATGTCCAAAATTTGAGGTACTTCATTTGCACCATGAGTCCCATGATCCTGTTTTCATGGGCAGCACATTCTAATTGCAGATGATAATAGAAGATGTGGAGATGATAATAAGACCAAGAAAATCAACGAGTAAAAGAAGATAAAGAGACAAACCTGATGGATTGTGTGTTAAAATGCATAAATGGAAGAAGGGTGGAGAATGTAGATGAACTTGTTTGTATGTTTTTTTTGTTTCTTATTGTTGTATCATGTGCGCTAGTTTTTTTTGCATCGTGTTGTTTTTTGTTGCAAAATGTTGTATATTATTGTATGATGTTGCTTATTGTTGTTTTTGTTAATTTAGATTTTTGTTGTTTGTTTAGAATTCTATTTACCTTTGCTACATCATTAAAATCAAAATATATGTATAGATTTATATACAAACAGCTAAAATGAAAAAGTCAGATTTATGACTAGAAACACAACGAAACAATGAGAAACAAAAAATTCAGAATTAGCAACACAAAGAAACACATAGAAACAATAGGCAACAAAAACTAATAATAAAATTAAATAATAATAATACTCCATAATAATTACAAAAAGTTTATTTACTTTAAGAGTTCTTATATTGGAAATTTCTTATTCTTTGATTTTGAAACTTTTATATGTGGAAATTACTATACATATTTTGTGATAATTTTATATGTTGCTTTTTGTTTCTCTTTGTTGCATCGGGTGTGTTGCTTTTTGTTTCATCTTGTTACATTTTGTTGCACCGTGTTGCATTTTGTTGTATCGTGTTGCTTATTGTTCTTTATTACTGATTTTCATTTTTTTTACAATTTATATTGACATTATATTCGTTAGTGATTTGGAATAAAAAAAACATATTTAGCTATATACTGGAACACCTGAAATCATAAAATTGGATTTATGAATAAACAAAAAAATATATGAAGAAACAATAAAAACAAAAATAATTAAAGTAATCAACAAATAGAAACACAAAGAAACAACATGCAACAAAAGTAACAATTAAGTGATAATAATATAATAAAAATATTTTATGTGTTCATGGTTTTTAGATTTTACATGCCTTTTAATTTAATCTAGTTTTCTGTTTTTTTGTTCAAGGAATCTTATTTTCTATTTTTATTTTCTTTTTTACACTAATTTTGATTTTTTTAGGCGTGTTCAAACTATATGTATTAATTTGATTTTTTTAATGTTTTTTAAACCTCAGAATTCATATTCTTTAATTTTTGTTACAATTGTTTTTAGTTTAAACGAATTTATGCATTTTTTATCTTAAAATTTTCAAATTCGTATTTTTGAGAGGTTTAAAAGAAAACCAGTTAACACTTTCTTTTTAGTTTTTTGAAGTTTTCTGTTAATTCCTTCATTTTTTATTTTAATTTTCATTCTATCCTTCATACGTAATTTTATGATTTTTTATTTCTTTTTTAGAATAATTTTAGTATTTTTAATGCTTTCGAATTGTTATCATATTTTAAATTTTAATACAGAGTAAATTTTAACAATTTTTTATATAAAAACAA